CACAGACAGCGCTCTGACATCCCCTGATGGCTACCACATTGCACTCTGCCTCACCCAGACTGAGGGGACCCCGGTGAGGGCAATGTTTACCAGCAGTTTAGAGGCTTGTGAAGTCCAGGCCTTTCTTCCCATATGGGACAGTGCTCTCCCCTAGAGCAGAGATTTATACCAGGATGATACATGCAAAGAAGGGGAAAGTAGACGGGTCGAGGGCAGGGGGCACAGACAAGAGCATCGAATTTAGCACAGGGGAGGTTTCTGGGAGGAGGGAGTATCTAAGCCTGAGTCCGCCAACCCAGGCTAAGGTGTTCCAGGCAGAGAGAACAGCATCAGCCAGGCAAAGGCCTGGAGGTGGCAGAGAACACGTGGGTATTACAGGAGCTGAAGACTGTCCTCTTTCCCCTGTCTAGGGTGAGCAACCCAGGCTCACAGTCTCCTCCCATGTCCCTTAGACCTCTTCCTCCTGCCTACCACCCCTTGTCAGAGTAACTGAGAAGGAAGGGGGAGGAGCCATCCATCTATTGCCACTGCCTGGCAACGGTCCTTCTGCTTGTTCCTCCGCCCACCATGGCCTCCTTGCTCCCCAGCTTCACCTGGGTCATGGCAATGGGAGGACAGTGGTAAGAGATCCCAGGGTGGAAGTAGGGAGGGAGGAGTTGGTATGTATTCCCCAGGCTCCCTCTCTGCTGGCCATGTGGGTGGTGGTAGCCTGTACCCAAAGCCCCAGCTCCAGCCCAGTCATCTTCCCTTCTCTCTCCTCTCTGGGTTCCAGTAATTCCTTCCTCCCCTGCCCCTGAGCCTAGCTGTGATGTCCCTCCCCACTACTGTGAGTCAGGCATACTGCACTAGTCTCTGTTGGTTTCTTAAATCTTCCTCACACTCTCTCCAAATTACCCAGTTTCAGGGAGCCATCTCTTTCCTCCCAAGACCCTGGGACACACACAGCCCTAATCCACAACTGGAAGCCCGATGGTCCATTGACTAAGAGATGGAAGACTGAGGAAACCAGGAGAGAAATCAAGAGTTCTGGCTCTGGGGAACAGCAGATGGTGTAATGGTTATGTTGCTAAACTCCCACGTCATCCACTGTGGTTCAAATCCTGGACCCGGTGATTTAAAACTCAGGTTGGGTGCATGTGCATGCATGCACAAGATCCTGAGAGGAGAATGAAGGAGAAGGGATTGTGGTGTGGCCATGCCCCCTAGGGGATGATTTCTTGCTTTCTGTCTCTCTGGCGAGTACATGCTCCCTATCGCAAAAATCTCTCTCTCTAAAAAAAAAAATGGGGGTGTGTGTTCTAGCCCCAATGTGTCATCCCAATTGACATATCAAATAAGTTGCTAGATGTATGAATGTGATGTTCAGTGGACTGGCCAAGATTCAGAAAACTGTCCTTCAAGGCATTCCCAGATTCTAGCTCTTCTCAGAAGCATTCCCCAATAATATAATTCCTAGTGATCTTCCCTTTCACCGTCATCATTCATTCATTTATGTATTCATCAAATTCTTACTAAGGTCTACTCTATGCTAGGCTGGGTGCTGGGAATGCCTTAGCACCCTCAAGGAGCTTACGTTCCTGGTATGGAGTCAACAAACAAAGTAGACACTGAAAACTCGGAGTGGTAAGTGTTGTGTTAAAGGAAGCAAGGGGGCCGGCCCCAGAGCCTGTGCTTAAGGGAGACAGAGTCCACACTGCTGGTTGCAGTTTGAGTCCCAGTCCTAGAGGCCTGAAAAACACACTAGGCACATGTGTGCGAGTGCCCCAAATCTCAACTGGATGGAGAAATGGAGAAGGGCGTGTAGTATGGACACGCTTTCTCCTCTCCACCCACCAGGTCTGGAAATGCATGCACCCTCTGGCAGTAAAATAAATAAATAAATGAATAAAAGAAGAAGAAGAAAACGGGAAAAGAAGGGAGAAGGAGAAGAAAAGGAGAAACTTCAGGGCTGCAGGAATTCAGAAAACGGGCAGATCCTGGCAGGAACAGATGGCCCCCTCCTATCCGTATTTAAGGAGGCTCTGTTCAGAGATGGTCAGGGAGAGGGGGAACCACCAGGGGGCATGAAATACCTTGGGCTTTATGTGCTGGAGCATCATTACTGTTTCTAGGCCTCAAAGGGAAAGAAAAGGAGGTGGCTACGAGAATCCAGAATAAGGGAGAGTTCTAAAATAAGGCTGACAGGAGTGTGAGCCTCAGTTGAAGATGCAGCAAGAACAACATCTAAAGATTAAGCAAAGGGCCAGCCCATCATCTGGTGGTTAAAGGAAGCTGAATCCCACTAGACCTCCCACAGTTCAAATCTCGGCCTGGCTGCTTGAAAAACACACTGTGTGCATGTGGGTGCATGTCCCAAACTCTGACGGGGAGAAAGGGAGAAAAGATTGCTGAGTGACCATGTCCTGTTGGGGGGATGCTTTCTCCTCTTCCTCTCTGTTTCTCTTTCTTTGGCAAGCATACATGCCCTTTATCAATTATAAAAGAAAGAAAAGTAAATAACTTACATGTAACAGAATCATCAGGTTAGGGGTTGAAAAACAAGGTTGGGAAGGGGAAGGAGAGAAGGAGGACAGGAGAAGGGAGGGATTAGAACTTGTAGATAGGTGGGCCCAGCTGCAGTGGCACAGAGGTAGTACAGCACTCTGCAGTGCTGGAAGCCCTATGGAAGATTCAGGTTCGTTCCCGGTCAGTTCGTAGACACCAGGCGTGCATGAGCCTGTGATCTTGACTGGCTGGAAAGCCTGGGGGAGGATCACGTCCTGAGAACCTGTTGAGGAGGGGAAGTGAGAAACAAGCCACCAGGTCCGTGACTCGAACTGTGGCCGCCCATGTGGGAGTCTCCAATGCCTTAACCACCATGCCACCTGCTGGTGCCCAGTCAACTTGGGTTCTATCACTAAATGGTCCTGGAATGCCACTTTCATATGATTCTAAGCCTAGGATTCTAGCATTTTATTAAAACTAACGCTGTCTTTACTTTCAACAACGGTAATAAATAGCCCTATAGAGTAAGTGCAAGGCCTGGGGCAGGATCTGGAAGGAGCCCTGAAGAGCCAGGGCTAGTCCCGGAAGGCTGGTCTCAAGAGCCATTTGAATCAGAGTCCCTGGTGTTTGGTAATCTTGTTTAAAAATGCTGAGACCTGAGCTCCAGTCGGCGTCTCCTGAATCAGAACCTCTGGAGTGGAGCCCAAGACTCCTTTACTAGAACAAGCTCCCTAGGTGTTTTTCGGCTAGGCTTAAAATTTCTAATTTTGCTTAGGCATGCTGGCCGGAAACAGAGAGAGAGGGAGAGAAAGAGAGACAGTGGGACAGATAGCCACAAGGAAAGTGAGAAATCATTCTTCAAAGGGGGACGGCCATACCACAATCCTTCCTCCTCTATTTTCCTTTTGGGGTTTTGGGCCCACTCACACATATGCCTGGAGTGTTTTTCAAGCCACCAGTCCAGGACTTGAACAGCACAGTTGGCTGGTGGGATCCAGCTGCCTTAACCTCCACACCACAGCATGCCTGGGTGGTCAGTATGATTTCCTTGAGAGGTGATCTCCAGACCCAGAAAAAGAAAGAACTGGGTCAAATAACATAGAAAAGATGAGTTTAGATGAAGATCAGCAATTTTGTGTGAAGTGCCCACCGTGCAGTAGACCTTTTTAAAATGATAACCACGTCTTAGAGAGACCCTGGGATTCTGTGATTAAGGTATGCACCGCTGATATCCGGGAGTAGGTTTGTTTGCAAGGAAATGAGTTTGTGATTGATTGCTCAGAGGCTCCCACTGTCCCTGAGACAACACTTCCTGCTACTGTCCATTCCCCTGCCCAGTCCTCTGACTCTCACTCCAGGTTGTTCCTACTGCTTCTCTTTTCTGGAACCTGCAGTGAAGCCAACAAGGCAGCAACAGTTTAAGTGAGGGCCTCGTGGCCAGAAAATAGAGAGAGTTCTAGGACAGACGCAGTGAGGTGCGGCTGGTCAGGCGTGAGGGCCTGAGGTGTGGCTGCAGGGAACGTCGCTGGGCTAAGGCGGGACAGTGGCGCAGGGATCATGAACTCTGCGGCCGCCTTGCTGGATGAGGGGCGCAGGTTCCTTCCTGAACCACTCTGGCTCAGCACCCGGCCTGGAAAAGGTTTGTGTTAGACACAGATGACCTCCAGGGACCCTCCAGATCGCATCTGTCCCCACCTGTGAAGAATGCATGTAGGAACTGTGCCCATTTGACAGCGAGGAAGCCACGTCTAGCGAGCGGCCGTGACTTGCCTACCAGCTCCCAGCCTGGCCGACCTCGCCTGGTTTCTCCCGGCGCGCGGATTCGCTTGGCGTTCTGGCGATCCGCTTCATGCCCTGCTAGCTGCGCCAAAGCAGCCAGAGGCATTCGGTCTCAAGTTCAGGAAGCAGCGCCGCAAGGGGCGGAAGGGTCGGAGACCACAGCGGGTGAGGCCAAGTGCTGGGCGGAGGCTCCCCAAACCGCCTAGGGAGAAGTGGGTGTGCTGGGGGGCCGGGCTGGGCGGTGGGAGGGAACGCCCTGGGGGAGGAAAAGGGAGCGCAGCGCTGGGGCGAGTGCAGAGCTGGAGGGCGCGCGGCGTGGTGGGCACCGCGGAGCGCTCAGGGGAGCCGTGCCCTGCCATCTCCCAGCCGAGAGCGCGGCGTGAGCAGAGGCTCTCGGAGCCTCGCCCACAGGCAGGTGAGGTGCAGCTACAGGGCTGGGAAGCTGAGCCGCGGTCGGGTGGCGATAGGGAGTCTCCCACCTTTGCGACGGACGGCAGAGGCTTGTTCTCCCTGCGACCGCGGTGGGGGGGGGGGTGTTCCAACTGGAGCGGATCCTTCCCTGGCCTACTCAGGGATCCCCGGGCAGCACGTGGGCATCGGGAGCTAGCTGGGCTCCTTGCACGCCCCACCTGGAAACCGTGGGGACTTGAGCCGGCACTCACCATCCCCTGCCGACGGCTTAAAGCTCCTCGGCGCCCACAGATTTGCAAGCTGCGCCCGCGAGTCGAGTTGGCACAGAGCGCGCAGGTGGAACAGACTGTCCAGGACCCAGCCAGCCTGTTCGCTGTTCTGCGGAGGTGACTTGCGGGTTCTATACTCCGCTGTGCGCTCACCCTGCCCCACCCAGGCCCGCCGAAAGCGCGAGGGTATTAGGGGCATCTCCTGCCGAGGCTCCTAGCTAATCGCTAATCGCTAATCATTTATGGGTTGTGTAACCCTAAACCGGTCATCACCTGCTCCCTGCTTTGTGCTGCTTCTCCTGGGACCCACCCGTTAAACGGGCCTCCTGCTCCCGTTATCCACCACCCCATGGGACATAGAGGCGAAGGGAGACCAGCCCTGCGGGTGGCTCATCTAGAAAGTAAGTGACAGTTTGTCAGCCTTTCGGCTAAGATGGAGTGCAGAAGGACGAATTCAGCCGCCCCAAGAGCATCCCCTAATCCTCCTTCACCAGGCTGCATCTCAGACACTGAGACCCCAGGGAGTGATAACCTGTCTAGGGTCACCCCAATGACCAGACGGATAAGAACCCAGCTTCCTCCTTCTAGCCCAGGGCTCTCCCCACTCCATGTGCATGTAAATACAGAAGCCCCCATGGTCTCCTGGCACTTGGTCACTTTGTGGAGGGTCAGGTGGCTGTGCAGGTGTCTTCAGGTTGTTTCGTTTGGGGTTTTGACTCCTTGAGATGATAAACAAAGCCTTTGCCCAAATCCCCTCCCTCCACACTTCTCAAAGCACGTTTCTTTCATAAACTTCACCTATGAGCACTCAAAATACTTTCCTACAGGGAGGCAAGACAAGAAACCCTGTCCTATCCATGAGGAAAATGTGGCCCAGAGCGGAGAAGTGGCCTAACCAAGACACGTGGCTAGATATGAACTAAACATGGAGCAGGAGCGCAGCCAGGATTCCCGTTCGGGGTGTTCACCAACTACAGGGTCCCAGAGTGGTAGACATAACCGGTCAGGGACTGCAGGGGTCATCGGTGAGGGTGGGAGATAAGGACGGCTTCTGAAGAAGGTAAGTATTTAGAGAGAGATGGCTGTTCTTGGAAACGGTGGGCTACAAGGGGGGAACACAAGACAGAAGAGGAAACAGCGAGACCAGGCCACCCAGTAGTCATCTTTTTCATTTTTGTTAAAAAGCATTTTTAAAAGTTTTTTTTTTTTTTTTTTTGCCATAGGCTGTGTGCACTCTCTGGAGAGAGACAGAGAAGGGGAAAGTGAGAAATCACCCCCCAGGGGGGATGGCCGCATTGCAATCCCCTCTCTTCCAATCTTCTCTGGGGATTTTGGGTGCCCATACAAGTGCTTGGCATGGTTTTCAAGTCTCTGGGTCTGGGACTCGAACTGTGACAGGTAGATGGGAGTCCAGCACCTTAACCACTACACCACCTGCTGACCTCAATAATCATCTTTTATGTTTGCAACTTAAAAAGAAATTATTTTTTTAATTGCCGGAGGGCAGAAGTGCTCTCTGGAGAGAAAAAAAGTACCCCAGTAGGATGCAGCTACACTATGATAGTTTTTTCTCTATTCTCCATCCTGTCAGGATTTGAGCACCATGCCCAGTGTGCTTTTCAAGCCACCTGAGCCAGGTTTTGAAGCACTGTCAGCAGGTGGGATCTGGCGCCCGATGCACAATGCTTAGCCCTAGCGTTTGTTACAGAGCTGGCCCTATGTTTGCAATTTCTAAACCACTTTCCCATCCTTTGTCTCCACCAGTTCTCATGTGAGGCAAGCAGGGCAAGATTAATCATCCCCATTTTCTAGATGGGGCTCAGAGGAAATAAATGCAGGGTTCAAGGTCACAAAGCCAAGCATACAGCCAAGATTGGAGTCATGAAAGGCAGACTTGAAAGGCAAGATCACCGGCCAAGTAGCTGGGACTTGGACTGTGTGTGTGCAGGGGGTGGGTGTGTGTGGCCACACCCTGGCTAGGTACACAGGGAAGAAGATTGCAAAGCCATTGCTGGTGCTTTGGGGCCAAGAATGTTTGCCCTTTGGATTGAATGGGTTCAGATACAGGGAGTCTCTGAGATTTCAAAGGAGGCTTAGAAATCCTCCCTCCCCGCCCACCCGAGAGCCCCCACCTGATTGAAATGGATTCTTTTCTTTGAGCCTCCCCTTTCCCAGACCCAATGGAATCTGTTTTGCCCTGCCTTGAAATTGCTTTTTAAGTATGGTAAAGCTGTTTTCATGAATGTGTATGTGTGCTTGGGGCAGGGAGGGTGCTCTTTAAAAGAAGCATTGATTCATTTATCCTTTTATTTATCCTTTTATTTATTTATTTAATGTGGTAAAGGGTGCGTACACTCATTGGAGGTAGAGGAGAGAGAAAGAAAGAGAGAGAGGGAGGGAGAGAAAAAGTGAGAAGACTCTTCTGGGAGGATGACCACACTGTAATCTCTTCACCTCCATTCTCCTCTCAGGATTTTGGGCACGCATGTACAAGTGCCTTGTATGTTCTTCAAGTCACCGAGTCCTGGACTTGACCAGTGCAGTTGGCCAAATGGGATCCAGCTGCCTCAATCTCCACAGCACCTAGCTGGCCTGATTCATTTATTAATGAGTGCCTGTTATGTACTCAGTCCTGTGGAAGTTTTTTTTTTTTTTTTTTTTTTTTTTTTTTTGTTTTCGCTATAGGGCGCATGCGCTCGCCAGACAGACAGAGAGAGACAGAGACAGAAAGAGAGAAATCACCTCCCAGAGAGGATGGTCACGCCGCAATCCTTTCTCCTCCATTCTCCTCTCGGGATCTTGGGCACGCATGCACACGCACCCGGCGTGAGCTTTAAGCCACCGGGTTCGGGACGCGAACCGCGGTCGGCTACGTGGGATTCCAGCGACATAGCCATTACGCTAACTGCTGGTTCCCAGTCCTGTGGAATTAAAAAAAATAAATGAGATACAGGTCCCTGCCCTCATACCACACAGTGCACGGTTTAATAGACATTTACACGCACAATTTCAGCACACCACAGTGCTCTAATAGGGCCTTTGTGCAAAGCACTTTGGGAGCAGTCAGGAGGAGAATCTGATTAGGAAGTGGAGAAAGGATTCTCAAGAAAGGAGCTACCGAAGTGACATGGGACTAGGCCTTGAAGGATGAGTAGGAGTTTGCCGGTGGGAGGGAGTTCCTACCTAAGAAGACAGCAGGAACAAAGGCAAGAGGGATGCCTGTAGCTCGTCATGGGCATGGGGCCTGGGGAGAGCTGTGGAGAGATGGGCCCAGAGGCAGGGTCACATCTAGAGGAATCTGCATGGTGATTTAGACCCTGCCCTCCAGGTAGCAGGGAACTTAAAGTGGGGAGATCTGTGGGAGAGGAGTAAGGATACCTGGTTGCTGCTCCTAGCAGGGCGAGGAGCTGAGACCTTGGGTAAGTAATTTTCTCCCTGTGGGAGAAATCCATCCCACTGGTCGAATGAAAGGGTTATACCAACAATGTAACCTTTGAGCTCCTTTCCAGCCCGCATACTATTCCTGTGTATCCTTTAGCTCTTCTCCACTCCACCTGCTCTCAACCCATGTAGTAGTAAGACCACTGTGGACCATGGCAAAATTGTGCAGCCTGAGGCTTGTCTGGATTCCCTCCCTGCTTCATGAGATGTTTTTTTTTTTCCTTTTTTTTGGGGGGGGGGCAAGATTTTTGCTATAGGGTGCATGTGGAGAGACAGAGAGAGACAGAGATAGAGAGCAAGAAATTACCCACCTGGGGGGGATGGCCATACTGCAATCCCTTCTCCTCTATTCTCCTCTCAGGATCTTGGGCATGCATGCACACACGCCTGGTGTGAGTTTTAAGTCACCAAGTCCAGGACTCAAACCGTGGTTGACTATTTGAGAGTTCAGCAACATAACCATTATGCCATCTGCTGGTCCCCATATGACGTTTTTCCTACCTCTCTGAAACACCTCATTTCCAGGCACTTAAGACACACACGCTGAAGGAGTAGCTGAAATGGAGTGACACTAGAAGACAATGATACAGTGTCACTTGGCCCAGAGAAACGTAGATGAGATGTTCACTCAGATACCCAGTTCATCCTTCAGATCACAGCTCTATGCCCTAACCCCCAGGTTAGAGGCTGGGCAAGTTCAGGTCAAGTGCATTTAGTGAGAATCTGATGGTGTGAGGGAACGAACAGGAGCAGCGTGTGGAGGTAGAGTGAGCCTGGCTGGCTGAGCAGAAGGGGCCATGGGAAAGGAGGCATAAACAGAAGCTAACTGTTCCTCCCGCACCTACCAACTCTCCCGTCCTGGACCCTCAGTTAGGATGGGGGGAAATCTAACGTAGTTACTAAGGGTTAGCAGAGATGATGCCCTGACACAGGCTGTGTTTGATGGATGCACAGCTCATGCCAGGGAACACTCATTTGCAGTGGAAAGAGGCCCACGGGCACTAGAGTCCTGGGTTCTCGCCCAGCTCTGCCCCCTACTGGCCCTTTTACTCCCCCTTCTAAGCTGCAGTTTGTCCCATCTACCAAACCCAGACTCCAGGATATCCTGGAATTTGAACTCTATTGGGTTGTCAGAAAAGTCATGATGTATTTTTTCTATGTTTTTCTATGCAAAAATGCGTCATGACTTCCGACAACCCTATAGATGATCTGTAAAGTCGCTGACAGTTCGCCTTCCTTCCTAAGGGCTTGATTGTCTATTTCAAGGCAAGACCCCTCCAGAGCAGGAGCTCTGTCTTCACAAGGATTACGAGGAGCTCTGTCATCAGTGGCTCCCCTGGAAAGGGAGCTGTGGAGCTCAGAGAGAGGAACAGAATTCCCAGCACTGCTGACTGCCACCCGCCGGACCAACAGGGACCCAGAGGCAAGTCACAGAGAACCAGCCCCTTCCTTCTTCAGCTCTTTGCCTCTGCTGACCAAACTTGGCACCTTTGCACCCAGGCGCTCACCCCACCCACACCCAGCACCTAAAGATATGGAGCTATGGCTTCTTCACTCCTCCCATTAGAAGCACAGACATCCTGGTCTCTGCAGAGAAGCCCTGGCTGGAGGACCTAATGGATGAAAGGTTTCATGAATCTTCACTCTCCTCACTTAATCCACCTGAGCCCACCTTGTTCCCCCATGTTGCCCCCTCTCTCCACTTTCTGCATGGAGTCTGCCTTCCCTGTGGCTAGATCACCCTGGCAGGTGAGCTGTTGACAACCAAAATGGGAGACCAGACGAAGGTGCAGTGGTAAAACATGACACTCTGTGAGGCTGACCCACATGGCAAGGTTACTGGTTCAAGTCCAGAGACCACTCTGAGTTCTCTAGGTACACATGTGTCTATGATCTTGAGTTGACTGGTGCTGGGATGGAATGCAGCATCAAGACCTTGATGGGGGTGGCATCATTCTCTCTCTCTCTCTCTCTCTCTCTCTCTCTCTCTCTCTCTCTCGTTCATGGAAGAAATATATATTTTTAAAAAAGAAAAATGAACAAGTCAACCAATTCAGTCCTCAGTTTATCTAGGCTGGAATATTAGGTGTTGGTTGGTCCCAGGATTTACAAGATCTTAACCTGTGAGGAGTCTGCAGCCTTTTCTAATGTGGGATTTCAGGGGCTCTGGAAAGCCCTCAAAATTCTTTTCCTGCTATTCTATCTGGAATAATCCAGCTCCCTATGCACAGCACTAAACCACTGTGCTACAGGGTCAGCCCTAAAATCATCTTCAACATCATGAAAGTGTATGCTCATAGCATGCCTTGCAAGAGGCAGGGCAGGAGTAACAATCTAGTTTTTGTTTGTTTGATTTGCCAGAGGGTGCATGCATTTGTCAGAAGGGCCTTGTTTAAAGAGAAAGATAGGCCTGTACCCATGGCCTAGTAGTTAAGGAAGCCTGGATCCACATGACTAACTGCAGTTTGAATCCCATCCCCAGCACTTTGAAAAACATGCTAATTACATGTGCACATATGTGTGAGAAAATTGAGAAAAGTGGATTGTGGCTTGACCTTGCCCCACTGGGGGTGCTTATCCCCCCATCTCTGTCTTTCTCTGGCAAGTGCATGTGCCCTCTGGCAATAAAAACAAAGAAATATAAGGGGAATTACATATGGTTTTTCAGAGACAAAGATACAAAGCTGTCTTTTTCTGTATTATTGACTAAGAATCTCTAAGAGGAAGGGGGAAAAAAGGAACATTTATAATCAGCTATTACATGACAGGTACATAGTGACTTTGAGAAGAGGGGACAGTTCAGGTGCCTATACATTGTTTGTCTGGGGTAAATATACCCCAAACCAGACTGAGCACTCCTCTCACTCCCCCACCCTCAGCCCCATTCTGTCTCTTCCAGTACCTGCAGTGGTCAGCAGCCTCCCCGCCGCCCCCCCCCCCCACCTACTTTCTTTCCTACGACATTTCCCGAAGAGCTAGAATACCTAGAGTGTTTAGAAAATAGGATACTTGGAGGTCAGATGATTCAGCCTCTGGCCTCCAGGTAGGGTGAAGTCTAAGCCATCCTTAGGCTTCTTCTAAATGGTGTCTGTGATGTATAAAGGCAGAACTGTGTTAAAGAATCGCTCTAGCAAATGTCTCCTAATGATGCCGCAGTCCTGCCCAGAGCCGGCATGGAAGTGGAAGAGCTTTGAGCTGGCCATGGAAGGGGAGGGCTTTCTGACTTGGCTTTGCCTCTAATATGCTCTGTGATCCTGGACAGCTGCTCGTTCTCTTTGGGCCTCACTTTCCCTGTGTGCAAAATGGAAGTGTCACATTAAATAATCTCTAAGGCCTTTCTAGCCTAAAGTTCAGTAACTCATAGAAGAGAGCAGTTCATATGGGTTATGATGGTCAGGGCGGGCTTTATTCCACAAGTGTTTGTTAAGCACCTGTTGGGTGTTGATGTAAGTGCTCGTACGCAGCAGTGAGTCAAACAGACACAGCCCCTGCCTTTCCTGACTGTGTGGTCTAGTGGAGAAGACAGCCCGACAAGTAAGCCAATGGTGAGAATAAGCGATGATGTTGGGAGTTTAGACGGGGTCTGAGCAGTGGGGTCATTTCAAGCTGTAGGCAATGACAGAAACCGTCTCTTCTCTCTTCTTGTCACCAGATCGTCCCCTGATTCTTCCTATACCTCAATTCCTATCACTATGGAGGCAACCAATGGGACTGAGACCTGGTACGAGAGCCTGCACGCTGTGCTGAAGGCACTAAATGCCACTCTTCATAGCAACTTGCTCTGCCGGCTGGGACCAGAGCCAGGGCCAGACAACCAGACCAAAGAGCGGCAGGCCAGCCTCCCTAGCCGCGATGACAACTCCTACATGTACATTCTCTTTGTCATGTTCCTCTTTGCTGTCACCGTGGGCAGCCTCATCCTGGGATACACCCGCTCCCGCAAAGTGGACAAGCGCAGTGACCCCTACCACGTGTACATCAAGAACCGTGTATCTATGATCTGATGCAAGGTGGCCAAGGATGGAGGAAGATCAAGACACATAGGATTGTTTGCTGGGGCCTCTGGGGCTCAGCTGCGGACATCAGGCCTCAGTATCCCCATCTGGAAGAGCAAGAAGAAGCAGTGCTAAGGGAGGTGGGAGGGGAGGGGCTGGGCCTTGTGGTTAAAGAGTTCTCCAAGATGGCCTTCATAAACACTGGGAGCCCAGGAATGAACACCTAGAGTTAGCAAAATCTCTGGCCCAGTGGCTGGGCCGTGGGCGCCCTGGGGCTTGGGAGAAGAAGAGGAAGTTGTAGCAGAGGGACATGAAACAGGAAGATGCTTGAGGACACTTTATGTTTTATCTTCAACAACCACGAGAAGCAGTGATGATTATCCCTCGTCACAGACAGGAAATCCGAGTCATCCGACTGACTTACGTTTGTTCCCATCTGATGTTCTTCAACACGCTGGATGTTTGTGATGGTAACCTCTCTGTGAGAAAAGCATGGCAGGTACCATGCTACCTGTTTGGGTCGGAACAGCGTCATGGTTGGAGTCCAGGAACTCTGGGCTCCTTACCTGGTGCTTTTCCAAACTCAATGCCACACAGAGTGGATCCGGGCCTGAAACTTGTACAATTCTGGAGACTGTCTTTAAGAGAAAGAATTTAAAAATATCTTACTTTTGCAATTAAAACAGTACATCACCATGGGGCCAGCCCCGTGGGCTGGTTTAAAGGATCGGGGTCCCATATGGCAGACTACAGTTTGAATCCTGGCTTTGGTGGCTTGAACATCATGCCAGGCACATATGCATACATACTCAAAATCCCAAGAGCATGGAGAAATGGAGGAGAAGTACTGTAGCATGACCATGTCCTGTGTGAGGTGTTTTCTCCCTCTCTCCCTCACTCCCTCTCTCTGTCTTTTTTTTGATGAGTACACATGACCTCTGGCAATTATGCACGTATATATATGTAAAATAATATGATTTTTTTGGAGAGGTTTTTGCTTAAGGGCACGTGTGCTCACCAGTAAGACAGAGAGAGACAGAGAGATAGAAAGCAAGAAATCACCCCCCAGGGGGGATGACCACGCTGCAATCCCTTCTCCCCCATTCTCCTCTCAGGATCTTGGGTACGCACACACACACGACTGGCGTGAGTTTCAACCACCAGGTCTGGGACTTGAACCCGCAGTTGACTACATGGGAGTCCAGTGACATAACCATTACACCAACTGCTGATCCCTAAAATAATATCATTTTTAATTATACATGTATATATAATTAAATATAAATATCTGTATGTTTGTATATTTAATTATACAACTTTATATATGTACATTTTGTACATATATAATATAGTTTTTATATATGTACGCATGTATATATGTGTGTGTATATATGTATAAAATCTCCATGTTAATATGTTGCCAGGGCCCCTCCTGGGAACTTCAGAGGAGCCCATTACTTCTCAACTCTATGGTTCAAGTGAAGCTATTCACAGTTGCCCCTTCTAGTCACATCTCCTGTCATGGGGGTTTCACTGCCTCCAAGCAGATTGTTCTATTTTTATTGAGATCTGTGAGAAATTTTGTGATACCAAGTTGAAATCCACTTCTAGCAGATTATTATCACCCGTGGAAGGTGATCATATTGATAAAAAGCAGAGTGTGAGGGGCAGGCACGTGGGTCAGCAGAAAGGGTTAGCCCTGAGTCTCCTGCTCATGTGGTGTGACTTGGACACTTCTCTCTCTCTGACCCGTTTTCCTCTTCAGCACGAGATATTTAGACTTGGAGGTGTCCAAGGGCCCCAGTCAGGGCTGACGTTCTGGGCCTCACATGCTTTAGGGTAAGCCATATGAAATCACAGTGTTGGCAGATCAAAAGTGGCAGATTGGCGCAGTTTCACAGGTTCAGTCTCATGCACAGTGTCGGGGGTGGGTACTTTATAAGCCATTTGCCTCAAATCCCAGCCTGGAACCATCCGCTGGTGTGTTGGTGTGATTGCAACTTCAGGGATCTCCATAAGGTTCCCAGAAGGCCCATTGAAACATGCACGTGTGTGTATAGCAAAACTCTGAAAGGATCTTCGATAGCCATTATCTCTGACGAATAGGGTTACAGGTAATTTTCCCTTTCCATTATTTAAATCTATGGCATATTTGACCATAGTTACTTGTCCACTAAGTGGGAAAACAGTTACTTCCACAATAAAAAGATCCAAATAAATGCCCGCGTGTTTCTAGCGCGGAGGATCGAATCCACTCCACAGGCAGCGATGGCAACTCCCTGCAAATCTGTGTTGAGCCCTAGATGTGCTCTGGCTCTGCCTCACCTCTCGAAGGAGGAAATGGGAGATCTCCTTCAGGAGACACAACGTACGGGAAGGCAAGAGGATCAGAGGTCTGCAGCTGACAGGACTTGAGAGCCCATCCAGCTCAAACCCTCAAATAAAATATGGAATACAGTCAAGTGTAAGAACGAATGGTCAGGTCTGGCCCTGGAGTGCAGTGACTAAGAACTGTGCATAGGGAGCTGGATCTCACATGGGTAACCACAGTTCAAATCCTAGCCCTGGCAGCTTGAAAGACTCACCAGGCATGTTCCAAATCCCAACGGGATAGAGAAATAGAGGAAAAAGCATTATAGCATATCATTCTCCTCTGGGGAGTGAAGGCTTGCTTTCTCTCTCTCCTCCTCCTCCCTCTCTGGTAAGCACATATGCTTTCTGGCAATTAAAAAAAAAATAGTGGTCAGGGAGTGACTAATATTTGGCATTTGAGGGATGAGATTGAAAATCTAGAAGAGTCAGGGACCAGCAGTTAGCTTAATGGCTATGTTGCTGAACTCCCATGTAGCCGACCGCAGTTTGAGTCCCGGACCCCAGTGGCTTAAACTCACGCCAGGCACATGTGTGTGCATGCCCAAGATCCTGAGAGGAGAATAGAGGAAAAGGGATTGTGGTGTGGTCATCCCCCCTGGGGGGTAATTTCTTGCTTTCTATCTCTCTCACTCTCTCTTTCTGGTGAGTGCACATGCCCTATAGCAAAAACCTCTAAAAAAATCTGGAAGAGTCAGAAAAAGCTAGAACTTGGGAACCAGCAGTTAGTGTCATGGCTATGTCGCTGGATTCCCACGTTGTCGACCGCGGTTCATGTCCCGGACCTGGTGGCTTAAAACTCACGCCGGGCGCGTGTGCGTGCGTGCCCAAGATCCCGAGAGGAGAATGGAGGAGAAGGGATTGCGGCGTGACCATCCCCCCTGGGGGGTGATTTCTCGCTTTCTGTCTCTCTGTCTCTCTCTGTCTGTCTGGCGAGCGCACGCGCCCTACAGTGAAAATCTCTCCAAAAAAAAAAAGAAAGAAAAAGCTAGAACTTGAAATGGATTTTGAAAGATAGAATAGATCTAAGCAGTGAGTGAGGGGAGAAGACTAGGGAGGCATGGAGGTGGAATGTGAGGGAACACCCTAGACACAGAGGTCAGTGGAGGACATGAAGCAGGAGGCTGCTCTGAGACTTCAGGCATCCTTTCATGAGTCCTCACACTAATGGGACTTACTAAGAAAAGAGTATAAATTTGCTCTGAGTAACAGGAATGCGGTACATGAAAGGCCAATCGGTGGCATGGTGGTTAAGGCAGCTGGATCCCACCCGACTGACTGCAGAGTTTGAATCCTGGACCTGACAGCTTGAAAAATACGCAGGATACTTGTGCTTGTGTGCCAAAAATCGTGAAAGGAGGGAGAGGTTGGAGGAGAAAGGATTGCAGCCTGGCCATCCCCCATAGGGGGTGCTTTCTCACTTCCCTCCTACCCTGTGTCTCCAGAGAGCACGAGCGCCCTCTAGCAAATTAAATAATAATAAGTAAAGAAGGAGGTCTATGAGAAGAGTGTGGGGTAGCTCACAAGTTCAAAAGAGGAGCTATAGACACCAAGGCCACTCCAGGGGGCTGAGGTCCTGGAATTGCAACACTTACTCAAGTTTATAAAGTAGGAGCTCAGTATAGCTCCTTACACACACCCATGGCTGGACCAAAAATCTTAGGATTTTAAGAAGATATAATTTATACGTCCTAATATTCTACCAGCTATTGCTGGGAGCGCAATCCCACGGTTTGTCTCACATCCTTGGCATCTTTGTCTGCACCGTTCTGCCCTCTGCTGGCCAGATCTCAGCACCTCACCCTGAGTCCTCAAAGCAAAACCTCAATAATCGTTTTTTCTTCTTTTCCCTTTTTCTTTCTTTCTCTCTTCCCCTTTTCCTTCCTTCCTTCCTTCCTTCCTTCCTTCCTTCCTTCCTTCCTTCCTTCCTTTCCTTCTTTCTTCTTCTTCTTCTTCTTTTTTTTTGTTGTAAAGAGGTTTTTGCTATAGGGCGCATGCACTCGCCAGAGAAACAGAGAAAAACAGAAAGAGAAGCGAGAAATCCCCCACCATCCCCCACCCAGAGGGGATGGCCATGCTGCAATCCCTTCTCCTTCTTCTCTTCTCAGGATTTTGGGCACGCAAGCACACATTACCTGCATAAGTTTTAAGCCGCCAGGTCAGGGACTCGAACTGTGGTCAAATACGTGGGTGTCCAGCGATGTAACCATTATGCCATCTGCGGATCCCCAATAATCATTCTTTCAACAGATATTTTATTGAGTGCCTACTATTGTCAAGCCCTCACCGAGGCACACTCGGAGTATGTAAGTAAGCAAAAAGACGAATGAAGGACTCTGTCTTAATACTCAGGAGCATTTCCTACAGGTGAGGCTCGGTCTAGACAGCTTTCACATTCAATTTGTTTCGCTTTTAAACCCCTCATAACAACCCCATGTGGTAGGTATTCCTTACAGTTACTTCAGAGGAGTCCACTTGTTCTAATGTCTTCAGGCACCCTTGATCCAAATTAGGCCCCACAGCATGCAGAATACGGATGTGAAAAATCCCTAAAAATTAACCAGAAAGTGATTTGGGAAAGTAATGCACAGTATTAACACCAGCGGCCTGAGGTTGAGTTCCTAGAAACAGAGCCTGAGACAGGCATTTCTTGATGAGGAGTGCTTTTCAGAAAAAGCCTACAAGAGAGAGAGTGAAGTGGATAAGAACGGGAAGAGCCAAACAAAGCCCATCTCCGGTCATTTCTCACCCTGGCCCGACCCACAGGGCCCTGTTATATGTGTATGACTGGGGCATCAATCACACGGCAGAGTTACAGTCCCCTGAGACAAGGCTGCGGGCTCCTTGCATCCTCAACTCACCCAGTGGTGTGGACCACTCTGCTGGGGACTGAAGATAAGCTGAGGGTGGCAGAAGGTTCCCAGCTGCTGAGGGCAGTCAGTGGAGAAGGGTGGCAGCCATGAGCCACTCTAAGATAGTGCAGCAGAGGAAAGCTAAGCAAGGACACGTCTTGGTGGGAGATTAGCAAGAGCAAAGTTGCTCAGGAAGATTCGAAAAGTGTTTGTTTTTTTATTTGCTAGAAAGTGTGTGCACTCATGAGAAAGAAAGAAAGTAAGAAAGTATCCCCCAGGGGGATGGCCATGCTCTAATCTCTTCTTTCCATTCTCCTCTTGAGAATTTTGAGCATTCACTCACACATGCCTGGTGTGTTTTTCAAGTCACTGAGTCCAGGATTCAAACCACATGGTCAGTCATGTGGGACCCAGCCACATTAACCCCCGTGCCACCTGCTGACACAAGCTTAGTTTTTCTTTAAGTTTATTTATTTCTTCCCAAAGAAAGAGAGAAGGGGAGGCCCCCCAACAGAGTCTTTATACCTCAGCCAGCTAGGATGACAGGCATGTATACACGAAGATGATCTTGGGACTTGAACCTGAGA